ATAAGGTCTTTTGACAAACAATTAATTTGAGTCTCTTCGATATTCCTCCAAGCAATGATATATATAATATAAACGTGGAATATTAATTTTCTCATTTAATTGACAGAAGTGGTGCTGATGTACGTGGATACTTCGTTTGGTCCGTGATGGATAATTTTGAATGGGCTCAATGGATGCACCAAAAGATTTGGCTTATATTATGTTGATCGGGAAACACTTGAGCGAACTCCAAAGCTTTCTGTAGGATGGTTTGCTAGTTTCCTCAGAAACAATAGTCACAACGACAGGGAAGAAATTATGGCAGCTTCAGGTCATAACAAGACTATTATATTTAGTCAACTGGAAGCTAAAGTTGCTGAAATGTAATTTATATCACCATTCACTTCCATTTGTTGCATGTTTCTCTCTTTTATCTGGAGGCATATATGCATATAGTCATCATTTTTAATAAGGAAATGCTGTGATTAAGAGTGTTTCTGTATACTCGAAATTTCTATATATTTCCTTCTTTTCTACTGAGGTGGCCGACAAAGGATTTTTGGTCCTTCTTCTCTTGGATTGCATAGGAGTGCCACCACCAAGTCACTAGTTGGCTCGAATGGAAAAAGTCGGATATTTGTGTTCGTGCTTCTAACTTCTAACCAGCCGATTGATAACTTGGCCTAGGTTTTCACTTCCTGGGGGTCGAGAATGGGGGTTTCGTATGGATATTTTTTAGTATTTTTTGGGATTTAATGATAATGGCGTAAATTAAATTAATAGGCGATTAAATTAAATAACAAGAAAGTAAATGTAAAAATAATATCGAAGCAACAATAAACGTAACTTTAAGTAAGAATGAAACAAGAATGATATGCACGACAAAGGTGATAAAATAAAGCAATATGAAATTAAATTAAACTTAAAGCAAATTCGATAATAAAAAGTAAACAATAGACTTGAATCTTAAAACAATGTAATGAAAAAGGCAAGAAATTAAACGTACACTAATGAAAGCGAAGAACTGATCTAGTCTACTTGCTTGAAAAATAAAAACCTAGTCAGGATAGAAAAGTGAAAGACAAAAAGTAGGTTTTTGTGTCTGATGTCCAAGTTCTTCCCTCCTTCATCTGAGAGGTTTATATAGGGTCATTCGTCAGCCCATGGGCTGGCCATTAAGTGGTCAAAGGTCAACTTCGTTCAAAATCTTTCCTTGTGTGGCTTCCTAAATCCGCATAATTGATTTGAATGAGATCATCGGATTCTAAATCTGATCACTTGATTCTCTCCTCCTTAGGAATGTTCCGGATTGACATCACTTTCTTTGGATGGATCTCATCATGTGCATGAAAACATCTGGAGGTTTTGGGCCTACTTCCGCGGGTTCGGCTTAAACCTTCGAGGACTTGGCTTGATATATGGTGAGACATTGTAGCTTTCGGAGTCCTAGTCTTGATTGAAAATAATCCACCGATGTTGGGGAGGCATGAGAGCCCAATGAATTGTGTGAGCTTCCTTGACGTATGACTAACTCGTGACAAGCCCACAATATCTTTTTTTTAGAAAACATTTAATATACCAATTTTGATAAAACTGCATATATAATAATTAATAATTATATATGTAAGCCAAGAAAGGCTTATTAAAACGCATAGGCCATAAGATTTCTTCTTTACTTAATATAGATATATATGTTCTTGATATGATAATCATCCAATTTGGCCATTGTTTTTGGTTGGAGCGAGTGACTAGGCTACAAAGAGCTTTTGAATTATTCTCATAAGGTGGGTCGGTCCTAGACACTACTTCTATCATTTTGAACTTAGAGCATTCTCAGCAGGGACGGATCCAGGAATTGCAAATCGGGTGGGCTAAATTACCTTAAGTACAAATGTATTAAGAAAAATTGGCGAGTTTTGTGGATTTTGGTTGGTTTTTGTAGATTTAGGTTTGGACAATAGATTTTAGGAACTAAAAACTAGAGGTAACCCATAGGGTTGGCTAAATTTTTTTTGGGTAAATCATAAGCCCTAGTTTGTTATATTTTTATTTTATATAAGCACTTTTTTTTTATAGTATATTTTGTTCATTGTATTTAGAACTTTTTGTCATTATACGACATTTGAAATAGAGAAATGTTGAAATTATTGATAATATTGTTGAAATATTTGGAAAGGATTGAAGGGAAACAAAGAAATAAAAAAAGAAGAAGAAGATATTTATAAGGAATTGAAGTTTAAAAAGAAAGTAATAATAAAATAAAAACATCCCATTTTGTGGGGCAGTGCACCTAACAAAATAAAACACATCTCATCCCAACACATATCTCTCCCCCCCTCTCTCTTTTATTATATTTTCTCTTCTCTCTCCCTTTTTTTTTCTTTTTTCCTCTCTTTCTCTCTCTCCCTCTCCCTCTTTCTTTATTCTTTTTCCTTCTTCCTCTCTTCTTCTTTTCTTTCTTCTCTCTCCGTCTGCTCCATCTCTCTGTTCTTTCTTCTTGCAGCTTTGGGATAGGCTATCTCCGTTAAGTTTTTTAAAAAATAAAATAAAATCTTAAGAATACTATATGGTATTACAAATACAAAAAATATTAGTATAGGCTGTAGCCCAGACAGCCCACTATGTAGATCCGTGCCTGATTCTCAGGTCACAAACCATTACCCAAAGCCAAGGACTATCTTTGGCTTCCAACTCTTGCCCACCTTGAAATTATCAAAGTGACCTACGTGGGTGTTCTTACCTCAACAAACTTCTGACTTCTTCCAGGCAACTCCTTGGCCATTCTCCCAGCCAAGTCCTTGACTTGTTCTCCATTATCCAGCCACTCAAAAGGCCATTCTTTTGGCCATTTTGTTTATACTAATATATATATATATATAGAAATAAGCAAATCTTACTTCTATGTAATACTTTTATTGGGTCTTCAAACCTTTTTCAACAAACTCCTCTCACACTTTCAAAAGCTTCAGCTGCCACGCCATTCTAATCCAGCCACAAGATTTGTGTAATTTCAGTACCCAAGAGATGGGTTGTGTCCCAACCACAACATATCGAAGGTGGAGTTCAACAATGGCTTCTCCTATCTCAACCCCAATTTTCTCCTATTTCTTTATTCCACTCTTATCTCTTTGTCAATTATTTATATGTCATTTCTTGCAGATGACCTTGATTCTTGACTAGAATGTAGAAATCCAAGAAGACCAAAAGACTTGGTTGCTTTTCTCCACAAGATGGATGGTGAGAATCCTACGTCCTTTTGACCCCTTAGCTGACCCCAAGCCAAGCTTGTAGGTTTTGTCATTCATTTATTTATTATTTGGTTATTGCTATTATAAATGACAATATCGTTGTTTTGGCTAGACCTTTGGGTTTCCACTTGACTTGGTTTGGGATTGGACCACTTGATTTGGTTTGAGGTTCAAAATTTTTAGTATCTTCATCATCTCTATGTGTAGAGTAAGTGTATTGTGAGTAGTCATCAAATGATAAATCCCCAAAATAGTTTTCAATGTAATTGTTAACATGCCATCCATATGGATCCGAGATTGGTTGACGTGTCAATAAGCAAAATCATTTGAAGATTGGGTCTTAGATTCTTTCCATGAGCCGCTCGATTCCATCCCAAAAGGAAAGGTCAAAGACTCACAAACTCATGTGAAAATCTAATTCTTGGAAAAACATTTCAAAACAAAACAATATAAGTATACATATTTTAGCATATTATCACAAAAACATAAGCAACAAGATGGTTAAGGCATTGGAGGAGTGAAATGGCAAGGGTTTGAATCTCCTTTGCGTGTGCTTTGTGTGTAATTTTTTTTTTGTCCATTACATCAATATTTTCGATATTTTCAATATCATAGCGATATTATAGTGATATTTTGACAAAATATTACTGAAGTGTGAGCGAAATTATCGACATTGATATTTTCCGATATTATTGATATTATATGATATGTGTATGGATACGTTCCGAAATATCTGTGACCCAAAAAAGGATAATATCCTCGATATTTTGTCGATATTATCGATATTTTATACTATGATCCGACCACAAATAGATATTCTGCCACATTTATGATTTTGGACTTTTATCCGACCTTATTGATTAGGCCCACTGAAATATAACTTGGGCTCATTATTAGTTTAATTGTCGAATCTTGGGCCTGACCCGGTCAAATTTCAACTAGACCCAAACAAATATGGTGGGACTTTCTTTAAGGTTCATCTTTTGGGACTTTAATTTTAAACCAGAAAAAAGACATTTCAGTTAAAAGTCATTTTTATCATTTATTTCTGTACCGTAAGACATCACCTATCTGTCATAACGACAGGGAAGAGAACTAGGCCAACTGGAAGCTAAAGTTGCTGAAATGTAGTGATAATGATAAAACTTGTAATACTTTTGGCCAAAAATAATTCTTAAAGAGCTTAGCTAGCTACTTCATTTGGCCACGTAAATAAATTTTGGGCTCCACCACTAATTGGGGGCACAAAAGAAATGGAAACAATGTTATTGGACTAACCATCCCAAAAAAATTAATCAAATAGTGGAAGAAGTTCGTCAAATATTTACGTTGTCGGTGCTTAGAGATTTATGTGGCTGATGGTCGAAAGTTTACGTCGTCGGTTATCAGAGTTAGGTGGTTGTCAAAAGAAAAGGTTTCTCTTAGAGAAAGAGGGTGACATGAGTTAAAACCAGGACTTGGGTTAAAAGAGTTAAAAGAAAAAAGAAAACATGTGTCTTTTTGTAAAGAGGCCACGTCGTATGTGGAGGAGGAACTTAAGAGCCAAACATGGTCCTAAGAAAACTCCCTCTCCCCCAATATCACTTGTATAAAATAATAATAATAATAATAATAAAGTTCTTGCCATACCCAAATGTTCATATATATACCAACTTGATATCACGAAAATCGAAACCAACCAAATGGAGCTCAGGGGAGGCAACCTCTTTTTCTTGTACTTGTCCTCTGTTTTCTTCATTTTCTCTGTTTTTTTCGCTCAAAGCTTCAAACAAGATGAAGAACAAGTCCAAAGGTCTCAATTCCCAGATGACTTCTTCTTTGGTGCATCCACTTCATCTTATCAGGCATTTTCCTCTTCTTCTTCTCTTCAAACTCTTTCTTTATTTCTGCAACTATCTGAACTTTGAATTGGCTTTCTTTCAAATTTTTAAGGTTGAAGGTGCTTATCTTGAAGATGGTAAGGGCTTAAGCAACTGGGATTTTTTCACTCAAATTCCAGGTAACACTAAATATTATTTAATACAAAGCTTTTTTTTTTTGGTAACTTTTCATAGATCTTTGTACTCACCAAATTAATGTCTGCACAGGAAAAATAGCGGATGATGACAATGGAGAAGTTGCAGACGACCATTACAACCGCTACTTGGTATTGAACTTTCCATATAGATCACCCCTTTCTCGTCCACCTTCCTTCATATTCTCAACTTTGAAACAATAAAATAGAAAACAAACACATAACAGTGAGCAAACCATTTAACTTTCTGAAATTATCTTGTGTGTATATGAATCTATATATATAGGAAGACATTGAGCTGATGCATTCCTTAGGAACAAATGCATACCGGTTCTCCATTTCCTGGGCTAGAATTCTACCTGGTACGGTGCCCGCTTCGTGTTATCTTAATTTGGTTTATTGTTTAATCTTGTTTTTTGTTTGCTTTGTTCTGTTGTTAATCTGGGCTTTTTTCAACTTAGTTTAAATTGGAAATGATCTTCTTGAGCCATTCACAGATGGGATGCTCGGCTCAGTCAATCCAAGAGGGATCATCTTTTATAATAAACTTATAGACAATCTTCTAAGCAAAGGTACCTGTGCATGAGCACTCGATTTACTAAGCAAGTAGCAAGTTACTAGCCAAATTAAACAATGTTTAGTCATCTAACTCTGCTACCATGCAGGAATAGAGCCATTTGTGACAATTCACCACAGTGACCTGCCCCAAGTACTAGAACAACGAGACGGGGGTTGGCTCAGTCCGCTATTAAGGTACGAGTAAAACTATTTGCACAATGTCTACTAATCAGATTCATATATCAGTGATCCGTAAGTGTGGTTCAAATAGCAATATTCATTACGGCATTCTCTGCTATGATATATGCTATGATAAGTGATATAACTATGTCAAGCTTTTAGGAGTTCTCAAGAGTTCATTCTTTCACTGTTGGTGCAGGGAAGAGTTTGCACATTTTGCCTCCATATGCTTTGAGAGTTTTGGAGATAGGGTAAAGTACTGGGTTACCATAAATGAGCCCAATATGGTGGCTGATTTTGCCTATCTCAGAGGACTATATCCACCGGCTCGTTGTTCTCCACCATTTGGCAATTGTTCCACTGGCAATTCTGACGTTGAGCCTCTTATTGGAATGCACAACATGTTAATAGCACATGCTATGGCTGTTGAAATTTATCGTACTTTTTTCTGGGTACGTATTTTTGTTCTTTATCAAACTCTTAACTACTTGATTTTGGATGATACAAGCGATAATCTAGTTTAAACTAATCTAAATGATGAGAAGGAGAATTCGAACTCGGATATAGAGTGAGGAGCACATCTGCTCTATACAACTTGGCTAAGCCCATATCTGCTTAACTACTTAATTAATGTGACAGCCGAAACAAAATGGGTTTATAGGAATTGTTGCGCATGCATTCATGTATGAACCGCTTAGGGATGAAGAAAGGGATCGGGATGCTGTTGATAGAGCCTTAGCTTTCAATGTGGCCTGGTAAGTGCTTCTTCAGTTTTGTTTAGCCATAATTTATTAGTAATCATATGTTTCACGAGTCCCTTAAATCTTAATACTTTATTGAAAAAGTTTTACTTTTTCAGTCCACTAGGAAATAATTTTTTTAAATAACGACCACCATGAATAAAATATTATTTAAACCAATCCGAACAAATATATTCCGAATTATTATAGAATTAAAAAAGAAAGAAATGGTGCTCCATATAAACTAATGAAACTTGTGATAAATTTATTGTATAAAGAAATCATACACAAATTGAATTTTTAAAAGAAAAATTATAGTCAAGTGTATTAGTTATGCAACAAAATAATAATTATAGGTTATTTATTTTCAATTTGTCAGTAGGTTTTACATGACTTGCTGCATACTTTAACCTCACTAATTTAATAAAAAATGTAGCTTCATAATCTTGGGATCCGCCATTTCTTCGTTGGTAGGCATTTCCCAAGACTCATGTAAATGTTCAAAGAAAGCAAAAGCCTCATGGTATGGAACCCACAAAACATCTTCAGATTTTTAACATGTCTAAGTTTCGTCAAGTGGATCAGATTCACCTGCCCCATACAGATATTGTAGTTGTTAGGCGTCATGTTAAAATCCAAATCCCTCTTAGAATTTTGTTTAAAATTTGGTAAGATGTTAAAGATCATGTCATGAGATATTGTTACAAGTTTATCCAAATTATAACACGTATGTTTATTAAAATCAAAACTGTAAATTCTAAATGATGAATCTTAAACCTATCACAAGTGTTAGAAATTGTGTGAATTTGAGAATAGAAGTGTACAAAGAGTACACAAATCATACTACAGGTCTTTAGTTTTGTGTATTCTATTTACTGTTTATACAATAGAAGTGTACAAGGAGTACACAAATCGTATGCAAAAAGTACGTACGTGACTATTTTCTTTTTCTTTTTCTAAACAGGACATTTGATCCTGTAGTGTATGGAGATTACCCCGCTGAAATGCGCCATTGCCATGGCTTGGAGTTACCAACGTTTTCAGCCAAAGAGAAACAGCTTTTGAGAGGAAGCATAGATTTTATCGGTGTCAACCACTATTCAACTCTATATGTCAAGGACTGTATTCACTCTCCTTGCCCCTCTGGGGGTGACCGTCCCATCATGGGATTTCTCAACACAACTGGCTATCGAGATGGGGTTCCAATTGGAGAACCGGTATATCAAACATACTATATGGTTATATCATAAAACAGTCTGACATAATATGTTACAAGACTATCAACTTATACGATCTATAGTTTAGATCGATAGTCTGAGAACATGATCTTTGTTGCCTAATTGGTTTTTGGTTTCCTTTCTATATTAGTTAACAAGGTCAACTCGTGTGTTGTCTTTCACATGTAGACTGGACTGGATGATTTCTTTGTTGTTCCAAGAGGCATGGAGAAGATCATTGACTATGTTAAGCAAAGATACAATAACATGCCTATGTTTGTGACGGAAAATGGTTAGTGGATGGCGCACAACTTGTTTATTTCATTGATTGTAAACAGATTCATATATCGAACAATTTTTTTTTGTTTCAACTATGTGGCAGGATGCACTTTACAAACACAAGAGAATGAACTAGAAGACAGGGATCGGATCAACTTTCACAAATCTTACCTTGCCTCTTTAGCCAGAGCAATAAGGTTTTTGACAAACAATTAATTTGAGTCTCTTCGATATTCCTCAAAGCAATGATATATATAATATAAACGTGGAATATTAATTTTCTCATTTTAATTGACAGAAGTGGTGCTGATGTACGTGGATACTTCGTTTGGTCCGTGATGGATAATTTTGAATGGCTCAATGGATACACCAAAAGATTTGGCTTATATTATGTTGATCGGGAAACACTTGAGCGAACTCCAAAGCTTTCTGCAGGATGGCTTGCTAGTTTCCTCAGAAACAATACTTACAACAACGACAATGAAGAAATTAGCTTAGCTTCAGTCGTTCATAACCAAAATAAAGTAATTAGCCAAATGGAACCTGAAGTTGCTGAAATGTAGTTTATATCACACATTCACTTCCATTTGTTGCATGTTTCTCTCTTTTATTTGGAGGCATATATGCATACTGAAATTTCTATCTTATGTTTATGATTCATGATGTTTTTCCTTTTTCTAATTCAACAATTGTTGATGTCCATACACAACAAAAAATAAATTCCCAAGACCGCATCTCGTTCTATCATCGGCCATTGGTTTTTTCTTTAATTTATTTTGAGTTAATTTCAATTTAATACTCTAAAATTGTCCTAAATCTGAAACGGATGCACTATCATCCTATTTCAAGGTTTAGGTTTTTAAGATTCAATCAATCACAGGTTTCCGCTAACAAATAACGAAGTCTTCTTGATCGATCAAACGCAAAATATCTTTTTTGGAAGAGAATGATGATGACAGTGATGGCTATCACAGTGACGATGAGGAGGACGAGGATGATGTGTAAGCGTTATAAGGTCACACACTCGTTGAACTTGGCTGGGACTCTGAGACAGATACCAAAATCAATTATATAGAACAAGTATTCTGAAGCTTATACATATGTGATTAAGATATTCTATTTAAGCATTGAAGTCTTAATATAATTAAAAGAGTTAGACATAGTCATCCGGTTACTTGGTGATTAAGTTGAATTCTAATAGGATTGTAATGGGAGAGTCCTATTAGAATTACACCAACTAAATCTCATTATAAATAGGATAGGTCACTGCCTCTGTCAAGCACCAAATCACAAAAGTTCTTAAGCCTCATTGAGATAGAGTGATATACATAGCTTGTTAAAGAGGTGGAAGACTCGTCTACTGGAACAATGGTTTCTTTTGCAGGTATTTTGTGTATTATTTGTATGTCTGCTAAGATGTTATAAGACTAACATGATGATGATGATGATATAATGATGAGGAGTGCGACAATGATTATAATGATGATAATGACGGTGGCAACAATGATGATGAGGACGATGAGAACGAGGAAGAGATTGAAGATGATGATGAAGACAATGACAATGGTGATGAGAATGAGGATGATGAAGGTGAATATCGCCTTGATAATAATAATGAAGATGTTTCTTACTTTAATTCATATTTGAGGACAAGCCATTATAGAGTATACAAGCTTGATCCAAAGCATGACAACTTTATTACCTTCTTTAGAAAAATATACATCTTGTGAGATAGATGTATTCTACCAAGATTTTTAGAAAATTGAGACCCTTTCCAAGTGTTAAATTGTCAATATGATCACAACTAACTTGGTTAACTCCAAATTTATGGTAGAAAGATGGGGAATTGTTGCTTAAGAAATCTTGTTCTTGCAAATATAGGCTTAGCCAAGTTGGTTAGAGTGGATGTTCTCTCCACTCTACACCCGAGTTCGAATCTTCCTTCCCATAGTTTATATTGCTTGTATAAAAAAGAAGTCTTATTCTTTGTTTATTATTATGTTTTGGATTCTGAATTCTAGTTCCTTATAATATTACACTTTTCTTCTTTTATTTCGGCTTGCTATATTGTTTCTATCGACTTGGCTAACTTATTAAATGGTTGAATCGTTTACTCTAACATGGTGAAAGTTATAGATAAAATCAAAGTGATATTTTCTATTGATAGCTAAGAAGGCCAAAAGGCCCGAAAAGAAAAGCTCAAACCTAAGATGCCCCATTCCTAGAACCTTGAATATAGGGGAAGATGGGAATCGAAGATATGCAGTAACCCAAAGTGAAATTTCACTCACATTTACCATGATATTGTTGTGCGGAAGCGTCAACCAACTGTGAGTGAAAATAAAACAACTGACAAGAGATAAAAAAAGAATAAAACAACACCAACAAGAACACCAAGATTTATACTGATTCGGCAATGCCTACATCCAGTTTAAAGATGGTGGAGTAATCAACTATAATCAAATGAGAGAATACAATAGTGTTTAACACTAAGAAACCCAAGCCCCAAATACACCCAAACTCACACACTCAAGAATATAAAAGGATTACAAATTGAGTACAATTTAGAGAAAGGGAAAAATAACCAACGACAGCCACAAATAGCTTTGCTGCTCAACTATTATTTTTTCTTCTCTCACTTTCTCTGCTGCCAACTTATCTCTGCTCTCCTATCGAATGCTGGGCTGCTTCTCCTTTTAAATCCAAAAAGAGTGGCTCTTCAAAAGAGCCAATTGGTTAGTAAGTAAATAATTAATAATAATTTATTTTAACAAAACATATATAAAATAAAAAAAAATCTCCTATTCATGTACCACAAACAGCACCACTTTTTCTTACTCATAAATTAACTACTTCACTCACACATGCATGCATAGCATGTGTAAGGTCTTTGCTCACATGCAGAACGTGCATAAAATGAAAAAGATGGCATGGTCTTTCTTTAGTTTGCTATTTACCCAAAAAAAGCATTTAGCATGGGTGAGCAGTCTTTCTTTTTGGGCACGTTACATGACATGGCCACATTGTACAAGTAGAAAGAATAGTTCGCATCTGCACTAGATCAACTAAATTTGTTGGATCGTATAGTGTTGTCTAATCAAAATGGCAGATTTTGAATTCAATCGTTGTAGTTGAGACAAAGTTCTTATTTTCTCCTTAAAGCTTCAGTTTGTCGTGATTTAATACTTATAGTATACTAATGGTTGTAATTTACAAATTATAGCGTAAGTTCGTTAAATTTCAACTTCAATTTATCCACAAAAGTAACATCTGAATGATATATGTTAGGGTAAAATAGAATTTTTTTGTGTGTGGAGAAATTCCTACAACCAGGATACAATTCTTGCTCTGCATCACTCAACAATTTTGTAAAACTATTTGCTTCTTCAAACATGATCTTGTGATTCCCCATCATCCCCAAACCCATTTTCTTGCAAGTCATGTAGCATTTCAAATACCTCATCAACTTCCTCTTCACTTTCCTCTTCCTCTAAATCATCATCACTCTCTTCTTCTCCATGAAATATCCATTTACCGTAGTCCATAACCATTCCATTTGCATATAATGGTCCTCAACTTGATGTGGAGATCTATAAAGCAGGTTGTTGCATCTATTACATGGGCATAACATTTCAGTGATCCTCGGTTTCATGTGCCCAATTGCGAAATTAATGAACTGTTTCACCCCATGAATATACTGTGTTTTTCCTCTAGTGTGCATAGATAAAAAAAAATCCAATAATCAAACTGAAATCAAAATTGAACCTAAAATCAAGCTCTGCTTGAGTACCAAAGAAAACCTAGCTGATTTAAGGACACAAAGTTTTGCTTAAAGCCTTTATTTATCAAATCAAACCTAGACAACTAGGGAATTAGGGAATAGAGAATCAAACTCAGAGTCACAATTGTACTCAAATCAAACTCAAATGAATCAAAACTAACATTGAAAGCAAAGAGAAACAGAAAGCTCACATGATATTGGGAGAAAACTTAGAAATCGAACGACAAAGATGAAGAGGACGACGCTCATCGAAGAAGACGGTATAGCTCTCTCTAGTCTCGCTTTGAGCTCGCTCGTCGAAGAAGACGGTATCGCAGGTCTCGCTCTAAGCTCTCTCTAGTCTCGCTCGTCAAAGAAGACGGTATCGCTCTCTCTGGTCTCTTTGGTCTCACTCTGAGTGAGCTCGTCTTTTTTTTTGTTTGTTGTTTTTTTCTTTTAGATGCTTTCGCTCTTCTCGCTCAGAACACGTTTGTTTTGAAAACAAAAAATAAAGTTAAAAAAAAGTTAATTGGTCACTGATGTAGGCTTTATCATTTGGCCCGCGGGTTCATGGGCAGATAGTGGCCCGCCCGGCCCATTGAGAAATAGCTCGGGACAAGCCCGTTATGGGCTTTGGGAAGGCTCGGCCCGCTTTGGGATGGTACGGCCCATATTGGGCTGGGGTGGGCTTGGGCTTGGGTGTCTAAAGCCTAGCCCGACCCATAGGCCCGAACTATCCTGCCCACAAAAGCTCGGCCCATTAGGCCCGCATACATATATAATTATGTATAAATAAGGGTTTAGGATTAGGATTATATCACTTGAATCACAAACCCCCCCTCTTTTCATTTTTGTGTGTGTGTGTTACTTGTTTGAAATGTTGTGTTTGTTTCCACTGAATTCTGCTCCTTTTTGTATCCATTTTTTACATTTGGTCCACGTTGTGTTCTTCATTTTTCTATGCTAAATCCAACCATATAAAGAACACAAAATTTGCATAAACGGTAGAAAAGTTATAAGTAAAAAACTGGACAGATGTCGAAATTGAAAATCAGAGGACGTCCATCATTCGTCTCTGCCTAAAACGTGATAAATTGATGTTACCAAGGTGATACAGTGTCGATACAATGGTGATAGAAATTGATGTTTGTGTTTATTTTGGGTTTCTTGTTTTGTTTCATTTCATTTACTTTTCTTTACTCATTCCTAGTTTATAATTGGATGATTAGCACAATTAATTTGTGTCAATTATTAATACAATAATTATATAAATAAAGAATAAGACGAACAATTTATCATATCACCAAACATAATCATACCACCAAATATAATCATGCTTTTCTTGAACCCACACCAAATATTTGCATATTTATTCATGCCATCCTTTTTTTATAAATATTTTTTTGATACTTATTATTTTTTAAAATTGTTTCTTAAAACGTGTTACGGTCTAATTATGATACAGTTGGGTGCCTTTTTTTGAATGGCACATTGTTTCTTTCTACTCTTCTTCTTCTACTTTTCGAATGAAGTAAGCCCATTTCGACCCGGCCCGTTGGGCTTAGCTCGGCCCATGAGTCAGGCCTGGGCTTTGAATTTTCTTAAAAAACCCAGCCTGGCCCGGCTTGTTATTTTCTCTCTCAACTTTGAAGCTCGGCCCAGCCATGCCCGAGCCCATTAAATTCGAGCCAGGCTAGCCCGGCCCGACCCATTGACAAGCCCTGCACTGATGTATTAAATAACATAAGTAAGGCTAGCTTGGCATATGTGTTGGTCACTAACTTATTATTTAAGTTGTTTTTAGTGACTAATTTAAATACTGGTAAGAAAATTTAGTCATTAAAAAATATATAAAAATATGTCTTAATCAATTTACTGATCATGTAGTATTATTGGTCATTAAATTCACTATATTTAGGACCATTATTAATGTGGTCACAAGAAAATTGGTCACTATTGACCTTTTATCTTATAGTGGTATATAGTTGTGGTTGGATGGGCCTTGGATTTCCAAACGGGAGTATCTGATAAAATCTTGAGCCCTAGAATCCTTGATAGCTTAAGAGCTCGTCATTAAAGGCTTAAGTGAATCTTACAACGCATCAATGTCTTGACAACTGTTGTTAGCACAATTTTTTTTCATCCTTCCCGCATTTGCCAGCTAATCTCCCATGTCCTAGGGAAAACTAGCTTTATACCATAGTAGGCGTGTACACGAGGATTTGCCATCTTGTAGCAGACATGAATAACGTAGTCTTTAATATGATGGGACCAAGTAGGCATCTCAGTTAACCAGTCATTTTTATCATTTATTTCTGTACCACAAGACAGCACAGCACCTATCTGTCACAACGACAGGGAAGAAATTAGGCCAACTGGACTGAAATGTAGTGATAATGATAAAACTTGTAATACTTTTGGCCAAAATAATTTTTAAAGAGCTTAGCTAGCTACTTCATTTGGCCACACTAAAATCAATTTTGGCTCCACCACTAATTGGCGGCATAAGAGAAATGAAAATAATGTTGTTGGACTAACCATCCCAAAAGAATTAATCAAATAGTGGAAGAAGTTCGAAAGAGATTTACGTTGTCGGTGCTTGGAGATTTATGTGGCCAATGGTCGGAGAAAAAGAGAGTGACCTCAGTTAAAACCAGGACTTGAGTTGAAAGAGTTGAAAGAAAAAAGAAAACAGGTGTCTTTTTGTAAAGAGGTCACGTCGTATGTGGAGGAGGAACTCAGGAGTAGTGGCGGATCCAGGATTCGAAATTCGATTGGGCGAAATTTACATTAAAAACTCAATGTTGTGAGTGAATCTCATTAATAAACATAAAAATATACACCTAGTAGGGGAGACATAAGGAGTCTTACCCTCAAATGCATCTCTATACATATTTATTTCGTTTGGATATGTTGTTTCTATCAACTTGGCTAACTTATTAAATGGTTGAATCGTTTACTGTAACATGGTGAAAGTTATAGATCAAATCAAAGTGATATTTTTTGTTGATAGCTAAGAAGGCCAAAAGGCCCGGAAAGAAAAGCTCAAACCCAAGATGCCCCCGTTCCTAGAACCTTGAATATAGGGGAAGATGGGAATCGAAGATATGTAGTAACCCAAAGTGAAATTTCACTCACATTTACCATGATATTACTTACTTATTTACTGTGTAAGAGGATATTACTTGTTTACTCACATTTACCAAACATTAGCTTTCATAGTCAATATATTGTAGGATGTTACATGGGCCACATAGATATCCCTTTTCGGACTGAAGACCCCCATATGAGATTGCCCGAGTTCATATATATAACATCGAGCGCTAACTGGTTAGTAAGTAAATAATTAATAATAATTTACTTTAACAAAACATATATAAAATAAAAAATCTCCTATTCATCTACCACAAACAGCATCACTTTTTCTTACTCATAAATTAACTACTTCGCTCACACATGCATAGCAAGGTCTTTGCTCACATGCAGAACATGCAAAACATGAAAAAGATGGCATGGTCTTTCTTTAGTTTGCTATTTACCCCCCCCAAAAAAAAAAGCATTTAGCATTGGTGAGCAGTCTTTCTTTTTTGACACGTTACACGACATGGTCAGATTGTACAAGTAGAAAGAGTAGTTAGCATCTGCACTAGATCAACTAAATTTGTTGGATCGTATAGTGTTGTCTAATCAAAATGGCAGATTTTGAATTCGATCCTCGTAGTTGAGACGAAGTTCTTATTTTATCCTTAAGGCTTCAGTTTGTCGTGATTTAATGCTTATAGTATACTAATGGTTATAATTTACAAATTATAGCGTAAGTTTGTTAAATTTCAACGTCAATTTATCCACAAAAGTAACACCTGAATGATATATGTTAGGGTAAAATGGAAATTCTTTTTTTGGAGGTGTAAAAGCACCTCACATGCTAATTTTGTAAACGAATGATTAAATTAAATCCTTATTCACGCGAATTGTGCATAATCAGTAAAATACATGACTTAAGTTACATGATTTCAAATTGAATATTTTTGTTATCTCACTTTCGACCCAAAAAAATAAACAGAGGGTTAAAGAATGGTAGATATAGAGTGGTGGTTAATAGTTTCCCAATGCAGACCTCAGCTACCTACCCCCCCTGAAGACTGTTTGTTTTAAAAGAATGGTGGATGAAGTTTGGTCTTGATACCTAGTCCTACATTTGGTCGGCTGGCTTGTACCTTTGGAACCAAACATTAAATTTACTTTAAATTTATTAGAAATTCCACATACTGGATAATATTAACTGCCCACCAACTTCCAAGCAGAGAGACAGAGAGACAGAGACAGAGACAGAGAGAGAGAGAGAGAACAACAGTAACAACCCATATATTGAAAGCCAAGTTATATGCAGGAGAAGGGAAAAATATTGTTTCAATCGATCAATGTTGGGTTTGGGAGCAGAAGTAATGGTGGCATTGGTGGGGCTTTGGGCTATGTTCTTGCGGCCATTGCTGATGAATTATACAGGAGATATGGTTGAAGTGATGGTGTCTCAGATCCGCGAGCTCATTAGCAGAAGCAGAAGCAGGAGCAGGTCTTCTTCTCGTCGTCCTTTCAGTCGAGCGATATAGCGAACACTTGGTGTGCACCGGAAGATGAATATGTAGGGAGTTCCCTTCAGCAGCTACCTAGCTCATCAACTGAAGAAATAAAGACATGCCCATTTGAAGTCCTTAGGTGCTTGAACAACCCCCATTCTCTTCTCCATTTTTTCAGTTGTATTGTTCGGATCGGATGGAGAAGTGGCCATATATTATGAGCATGTAATTTTTGCAATTGGATTTTAGGAATGATGTAGCAGAGTTTAGGATTGAGTAGCAGCTCATGATTTCAGACTGTAAGCCAAATCAAAAGATTAAAGTTTCAGTTTTGTGTGTTCGAATTTGGTGGAAAGCTTGTTCATGGTGGTTGTCCCTTGTATATGGAAGCACATCCCATCAAAATTACAAGGAAAGTAATTGCATGGTTTTGTTCAGATTCGAATTGCAACCGTGCTCTTTCTGTCTTGTTGATTATTTAATTGCTGCTTCTTTTTTGGGCTTCTTTATTTAAAAAAAGAATTTTGATTCAATTCCTTGTCTTCATTATCTTTAATTTTTACTCTAAATCATTCATCTGAGATCTAAAAATTCTCTAATATTTTTAGTGGGCACATATCTGAGTCTGAATGATCCTTGGGTAAATAGGTTATCTTGGTCATACTTAATTGGAAAGAGCTAAGAAATCTTATTAAATTTGAAAATCAAGATAAGACCAGAACATAAGGAAAATACACAACCCATAGGAATTGGCGCGTAGTTTCTTTTTAAGTAAATTTAGGTTCACTTTTATTAGATCTTTGTACTCAATGTGATATAAAAATGTAGTAAGCCTAGTATTTTTCATCTTAATAACTACATTATCGTTGTAAGTAACAAAAGAATAATGCTACATTTACCACATTTTTATCTTATATTTCTATGCTACATGATGTGGCATATTCATATCATATGTCACATCAATTAAATGAATAAAGTGTATTTTAATAAATAAAATTAGAAAAACAAAAACTAGCAATATTTTACATGATGTAGTATGTACACATCAGCTGCCACATCATGGGGTGATAAGACTATTATTTACTAGTACATTTGATATATATAACTAGAGTTGGGCTCAGTTTGGTTTGGTTCGGTTTTGAGCCCAAATCATACGTCGAACCTGTACCTCACGATTTGGAGAAAATTCAAACTGTGTGCTGAACCATGAGGTGGGAAACCGATCATCTCGGTTAACCGGTTTCCTCGATTTGATTTGGTGAAAACCTGCTTGAAAACATTTAGAATCTAAATTCATTCAAACTCAAACATTCATTCAAAACCTACTTGAAATTCATTCACCATTCACATCACAACAGATTCAAAATCAATCAATCATTTCAAACTAAAACATATGCATCATTCATCATTCACATCCACATCACAACATATTCAAAATCATTCACTCAATCAATCATTTCAAACTAAAACATATGCATCATTCATCATTCACATCCATCCAAAATTTCAAACTAAATCATATGCATCATTCACCATTTACATCTATCCAAAGTTTCAAAAACATATTATCAATATAACAAAACAACCATTTTAAGTACAAACCTTTTAAGTGCAAAAAGTTTTTGACAAAAGATAGGTTTGTTGAGGAATTGACTAACCTATCTTTTGCCAAAAACCTACTTTAATCTCATCAAAAAAGAGCTCCAACTCTAAAATATTTAAGTGAGCTCATCAAAAAAAGCTTCCACATCTAAACTTCCTATTGTCCAGCCCTTTTAAGTAACAAACCTATTTCAATCTTAACAAAAAAGAGCTCCAATCTAAAATATTTAAGTGAGCTCATAAAAAAAGACTTCAACATCTAAACTTCCTACTGTCCAACCCTTTTAAGTAACAAACCTATCTTTTTAAGTTCGAAAACCTACTTCAATCTCATAAAAAAAAAGCTCTAATCTAAAATATTTAAGTAAGCTCATCAAAAAAGACTTCCAAATCTAAAGTTCCTACTGTCCAGCCCCTTTACAAACCAATTCTTCATGCTCCCTCTAGTTGTTGTCAGTAAACTCATTAGTAGCCAGTGGCCACTTGTTCATTCTTCTATAATGTTTGAATATATATAAGAATAGAGAACATGTAAGACAAATTCAAATGTACAAAGTCAAAATAGGAAAAAAAAAAACATAACAGCAATGTCTGATTCCATTTTCTCCAAAGCTTGATAAAACTCAAGCTCATCTTCACTTGACTGCTTGTTGAAGTCAAGAACCACTTGGCTTAGCCAATCCTTAGTGCAAACAAGGGCCTCAATTATTTTAGGAGTCAAAGACGCTCTAAAAGGATCCACAACCCTTTTTCCCATACTAAACGCAGCTTCCGAAGGCACACTTGAAATAGGGAGAGCAAACACATCCCTTGCAATCTTAAATATAACTGGAAATCTTGGAGAGTTCTCTCCCCACCAATCTAGCAAATCAAAGTGTTTTATTTCTGGATCTTGAGCTGCCTCTAATAAATACTTGTCCACCTCATTCTTAATTTGAACCACGACTCTATCTTTTCTTGTTCTCGCAAATTTTTGAAGTCTTGGATCATTGCATTCAACTCTTACCTCCCCTCCACTTTCTACATTAGCCTCCGCATTAGATTGGGCCGTTGCTGGTTCCTCTTTCTTATAGGCCTCATACATCCACATTAAGAGATCTTTCACCCCTTATACCATCACACTAACCTTCAAATCATCACTTTCTAACTCATCAAAGCTATATTGGGACATAGTCCATTTTGTAACGAGGATCAATCACCACCGCCACAATCAAAACTTGGTTCACTTCCCGAATATTACCCCAATACTTATCGAACTTCTTTTTCATTGAAGTTGCAAATTTTCAAAAAAAATGTCTTCACTTATAATCATTGCATTCAACTCATCAACAATAGAAAGCATCTCATTGAAGGGGATATTGAAGTAACTGTCTTATATGCACTAAACTTTAAGGTTTCCTCGTAAAATCTTTTCAAGAACTTCACAAAAGCTCTTGCATACTCCCAATTTGCTGCGGTTTGAGGCTTCAACTTTTTTTTAGTGGAGATTTCCTCTTCTTCAACCTTTCTTTTCTTCTTTTTCAAAATACCATCATCACGATCACCACCACTTTGATGAAAGTAAGGTGCATAGTCTGCCGCCTCATCTTCCAACCTATCAAACCCTCTTTGCAACTTTAAGGCAGCTTCTAACATAAGATATACTAAGTTCCACCTTATTTTACAGTCTAAAGGTAATAAACATTTGCTGTCAATTTTTTACAATGCCAAACAATGCCTAAATTTGTCCAACCTAGATGGGGAAGACCTTGTATACACACAAGCTTTGCGAATACTCTTAATTGAGTCATGGAATTCACTCAACACATAAAAAACTACCAAATTAAGGATATGCGCACAACACCTCATATGTAAAAAATCACAATCTAGCAAAAGAATGTCACAAAGCTTCAATTGCCTCTTCATATGCCTAATGGCCTTGTCATTAGCCGTATCATTGTCAAGTGTAATAGTGAAAACTTTATCTATTCCCCAATCATGCAAACAATCTTCTACAAATCTCCCAATAGCCTCACCTCTATAATTTGTAATTTGACAGAAATTGATAATTCTCTTATGCAATTTCCAGCTATCATCAATTAAATGGGCTGTCAAAGCCATATAGTTCACATTTTTCAAGGAAGTCCAAGTGTCCGTGGTAAGCGAAACTCTTTGTGAATTTAGATTTAATATACTCTTGATTTTGACCTTTTCTTCTTAAAAAAGATCCCACACATCTCTAGCAATGGTTCTAAGGTTGACACTTTCTCATAAATAGCCTAAAATCGACACCTTCCACATTCGTAAATGGAAGCTCATCAAGTATTATCATCTTCACACAAGAAATTCTACTTATCTCCTTGTTATATGAATGCGCAACTAGGGTTCCTTTGTTCTCAAATGAAAGCACTTTTTGTTTGTTCTCCTCACTCAATGGACATTCCCCCGTACACTTCTCTCTCAAATGTTGCATCATTGTAGATGTCCCATTTTTTATGGGATCACATGCATAAGATGCACGATAATACTTACAAGAAGCTCTACGTCCTATATTACTCCCTGGTTCAAATGGTGACCCTGCTTCACCTTAATTGTTATTTGAACAAGTAAAAGTTATGTCTTGGTCCGAGTGGGGATAGCATTTCTCTTCTGCATGTCCATGGAGTTTTGAAAAATCCAAACATCTCAGAGATAGATAGAGAGGTAGGAATTTTAATAATTTTTTTTTCATCCGATCCGAAGGGGCTTTTTAGTTCCACGGATGTTTCCATACCTCTGATACTTTCCTAGTAGGCTTGATCTTTCCTGAAGTGGGAGGATGTGAAGAGAGTGTAGCTGCTCCATCCCTAACTACTTGTGGTTTATCATCTGTTGTGGATATAGGACGAGCTTCCATATTTGAAATTTTTAAGGCCTATAAAATGAAAAACATATTCATAAGCTAACTCATAAACATGCCAAAACATGTTACACTCCAAATGTAGTAAACCTTTACACACCAAACAGATTTTCAAAGCTATGAGTCAAAACTTTTACTTCCTTATTATTGTTTTTCAAAACATATGTAAATCCATAGACTATAGATTAAAATTATTCACAACTGCTTTCATACAAGTAAAGTAAATTGTAATTATATTATCAATTAAACTTCATAATCTTGAAGGCTCAAGGAAGATGGATCTTTGGGTTTGTTTCTGGAGATAGATCACACCATCAAGTTGATGGGATTTATCTAGTATTGGGATGCAATTTATCAACTTTTAGAGAGCTAATTCTCTAATTTAGAACTGGTTGGTTTCGTTCACTAATAATTCATTAACAGAACAAGCCTTTTACACAAATTTGTTCCTTAATACATAATACACTAACCCATTCTATCTAATAAAGCTAATCAAGGATAACAATTGATAGCTAAACTAGTCTTGAATTAGAGGCTTTTATGTGTTGGGACTTCAATACACATCATAGATATAGTAGTTATAATTTACAAACAATACACATATTTAGGAAGGAAAGGAAACTTACCCTTGATTTTCAACACAATCACCAGTTCAAAACTCTCCAATTTGCTAGATAAAATGTCTGCATATGTAAGAACTACGAAAATTAGGGCTATACCAAAAACCCAAAAATTAGGGTTCATAACAGAAACAAAAATCACAACAAAAAAAAAAAAAAAAGAAAAAAAAAAAAAAAAAAATTGAGGGATCAACTAACCTTTGCAGAGAGAAACCAAGTTTTAAAAATGAGATGAGAGAGTAGAATGAGTGATGAGAGACTAAAAGATGAGAGGGAGGTGCAAGTAAGGCTATGAAGAAGAGGTGTCGCCGACAACGCGATGGCGCTAAGGCGATGGTGACAATGTGAGGCTGAGGCGAAGTCGACGAGGCAAAGGGGAGGAGAGATAGATGAGGCACGACTAAATTGGATGAAGGATTGACCTAGATTAAGTTGCGAAGGGCTAGGATATGCTATGCAAATGTGCACATAACATAAAATCAAAAACCAATAAAAATAAGCCACGTATATTATAATTATTAAATTAAATATGATTTACATATTTGGTTTGGTCCGATTAACCGATGATTTTTAAAATTAGGAATCGAGCGCCAAACCATGAATACCGATTCGATCTGGTTCATGCACCGTTGACGAAAAAGAAAAGGAAAAAACCAAATCAAATTGGACCGACCAGTTCAGTTTGATCGATTTCGTCAGTTTTCGGTCCTAGATGCCCAGCTCTAAATATAACCATATAAGTCAGAGAAATGCTAGCAACCTTCTCTCTAACCTTCTCCTTTAGACCTTCTCCATTTTTTGCTTGACATGTGTCATTCTCCTTACACTTAAAACAATGTCATTAATATATTATACAAGCTAACTTTTGCTTTCCAAATTTACCCTTATTAAATGTATTCAATTTATCCCAAAAAATTTCCCAACTTTCTTACCATCTTATTAATTTTTTTTCTAACATCAATTTTTTTTAAAAGAAAATATCTACTTTTAAGAGGAAATGTCCTTTTTTTTTTCTTTTTCTTTTTTTAACACAAAGGGTTTAGATAGAGAAAAAAAAGTCCTTTGTGTTTTAAAAAAAACGTACATTTCCTCTTTTTTGAAAAAATCATACATTTTCTTTTAAAAAATAATTGACGTAAAAAAAAAAATTAATAAGATGGTAAGAAAGTTGTGAAATTTTTTGGGATAAATTGAATACATTTAATAAGGGTACAGTTGGAAAGCAAAAGTTAACTTGTATAATATATTAATGACATTGTTTTAAGTGTAAGGAGAATGACACATGTCAAGCAAAAAAGGAAAAAGGTTAGAGAGAAGGTTGCTAGCATTCCCCTATAAGTTAATGTTAACGATGTGTATCGTTTTAGTGAAAAACCTTTATTCTTTTATTTGGGTCACTTACATGATGACTGGGCCAGCGCTGGTATGGCCCAGCTCAAATTTGAGGTTAGGCTGTTGGGCTTCAGCTCTAATTTATTTTACTATGGATTTCTACATCAGGGCTTCGAAAAAAAAAAAAAAAAAAAAAAAAAAAAAAAAAAAAAAACAATTTTCTTTTCAAAAAATGGTGGGTCCCTCCCCCACCAAACAAAAAAAAATACAGAAATATTTTGAATTTTCTACAAACCATTGTTCTCCCATCCATCCCACCACCCACCTGTAAACAAGTAAAAAAGCACAGATAGAAAATACACCGTGTCTGCACAATAGTAACGTCATAGGAGAAATAACTCAAATAAAACATAAGCTCGAAGGACCTTTATTATGTAATTTACTATTTAACTATTAAACAATGACAGATGTTTTTAGCCATCAATACACAATGAAGAGCAAACGAATGCTTCAAGTCTCTTTACACAAAACTCCTCCCTTAATTGATTTTGCGGCAGTTTTGTCGCACTTCTCCTTTGAAACCTTCCTTAACATCCAGCGTGCTCATTTTCACCATTGCCTGTTGAAAATCAAAGAAGAACATGGCTTGGTTGAAGGCATAACCATTTACAATGTTTCTGGTTCTTGCAGATGCAAACAGAGTTTGGTCAGAAGCCAGCAGTCCGGTGTTCCGCTGCAGTGCATTGAAGTAAAGGTTATCGAAATGGTTTCTCGTCGCGTCGAAGGGCTGCTCGGTATTGTCCCCGGCACTGCAGATTTTGGTCAGTTGCTTTGCAAACCCTGAATCTAAGTTTGGATCCACAGCATCACGCAATCGGTTTTTGAATGAAGAGCACCTGGCTACACCTAGTGTATGTGCACCTACAAAGTACAAAACCAATATATATGAACCCTTAAATTAAGAGAAAAACTTATGTGGAGATTCTGCCAGAATGAGTGGCAGGTAGCGTTTAGTTAGAACATAACATGTGTTGCATGATTTGACCGGACAATATCTGCGACTCAATCGGCTACATAACATGGTCGTTTGTAAATTTTAAGAGGGAGCATGTATATGTTTACCAGATAGAGCCACCATTTCTTGGGCAGTAAAACCATGTTGCCCGAACATTTTAATGAGTTCAGAGGCATTCAAGGTGGGTGGAGGCAGGTTGATCGTGTCTTGTATTTTAGACCTACTTCCGTCCTTTCTTCCTTTGGGTATGTCATATACTGGACCTCCAGCCTGTTGTTAATAAAATCCCATCAACAAACAGTAAAGTCTAATGATTAATTTCACACACAGAAAAAAGAACATAATTCAATTTATGAATGAATTTATATGTCCTTAATTACCTCAAAAACTGCATATGTAGAAGCCATTGCAACTATATCAGCGCATGAGACAACGCCAGGGCATTGTTTTTCAAGCTCCTCTTTTGCAGCATCAATAACTTCATAGCCTCTAAGGCTCAAATTTGCAGGGGAGTCCTTCTCTGCTGTGTTGTCTTTTGTTGAATCTAGGAGAATTGACGCATCACATCCCTAAATATTCAACAAAGAAACAAAAGTTTTAATTTTTTTGGTAATTTAGAAATGACAATGTGGAGTCATTAAATCCCTTTAAAAAAATAATTTAACATGAACTTGGCAAGTTAAAAAAAAAACACTTTACACAAGAAAACAAAATATTATACTGTTTGGATGTGTGTTGCGTGTAATTAATGTACTGATTGAAAAGTAATATATGAATAACAATGGAAGAGTGTAGATGTTGCACACCTAGCACTCAATAGAAAAAAATAAAGTTAAAAAAAGTAAATTAAGCTGTTACTCTATAGTAGTGTTATGATATTGCTTTTAGTGGTTCGAAAAGAAGCACTCTTGTGTTTTTTCAGAAAGTACTTTAATAAATACGCATGAAAACCTTTTGCTTTTCTTAATAAAAATTCCGTGCACTTCTAACAAAACCTACCAAATTTAAACAATATGATTGTTTTGTGTGTATAGAGAGAGTAAACAATATGATTGTTTTGTGTGTATAGAGAGAGTAAACAATATGATTGTGTTGTGTGTGTGTGTGTGTATATATATATATACAGAGAGAGAGAGAGAGAGAGAGAGAGAGAGAGAGAGACCTCTATGAAGCAGTCATGGAAATGCATTCTGATTAGGCCTGCTGCTAAGGTTGGATCAGCTTGCAAGGCTCTGATGACTGAATTTCTCACGATAAATTCAGCCATCGGGCAGCTCATAATGTAATATTCCATACTCAAACCATGTGCTCCAGATCTGAAGCCACTCATCATTTCCATTACTAGAAACACACCAAGAAGCTTAGGAATTCCCATGTTTCTGTGTGTGTGGTCAAAAACAAATTAGCTTAGTTGATAGAAGAACGCGTAACTGGTAGAACTGAAGAGTGAGGAGAAGGCAATGTGCATTTATATAGATGCAAAGTAATGGTTAAACAAAGGTTGCCGCCCCAAAACCAAAGGGAAGAAAAAAAGTTGAAAACGACAGTGGTTTATGCTGATCAATTATCCACCTAATCAATCTCATTTGCCTAGATAATGCAATAATTGTTATCAAAATCCATGCTAATTACATGTAGGGCGACACGTAAATGCACCGCAGCACTAAACAAATATTAATAATACAATATGTACTATATTTAGTGACCATGTTTTTAATAGAGATGTATCCCATTAATGAATGAGAAATCCACCGCAATCAGTAAATATGGTACAAATAACAATACTAAAAAAATATTAATTAAAGCCAAATCATGCATGCATGAAATCTAAGACTAAAAGATGACAAAGATCACACAACAACAAATGGCACTGTTAACTGATAATCACATTGTCACTAACAAATTAAATATGATATCATAAAGTGTTGAAGTTTTGCATGGATAGTGGATTAATATACATATGTGGGCTAGGCATGGAAGTCAAATGTCAAAATGAAAGTGGAGAAGTGTCAAGTGTCTCGAGCACTATGTAGGCCACGACCAGGAAACACATATTGGGCGGGCGGCATATATGTATGTAGATCAGCTGGCTTCCATTTGAAAAGGAGAGCATACCTACTCTAGAGACGTCACGTCGTTTTGTGACAAGTGGGGAGGCTTGTTTGGGCAAAAGAAAGATCCTTTTACGCGTGCAGATTCAACAGGCTACCGATTAGTGTCTTACACACGTTCAACAACATGTGGTGTGGTGTTACTTTATTCTACTCACATCATATATATATATATATTCATACATATGACATGCTTTCACTTCAAGCAAGCGATATATGTGGTAGTGGTGTCTTGTCTTTTCTTCTTCTTTGTTTGGTTTTTGCTTTTAAATGAGGTCTGACTTTTTAATGGGTGTTTTTGGAGTTAAACTGGTATTATTAATCTTTCTTGCAAGATGAATGGATCTAATGAATTCACAGATAAAAAACATTGAGAAAGGCATCCAAGTTAAAGGTCAAAAGGTGCAATATCATCCAAATATTCTTTGATGCCTTACTAAGTCCAGGCTGAGTCATAGTATCTAGAGTTCTAAATAGTGGTAAGAATAAGTGGAAGTGATAGAATTTATAAAGTAAATTGCTTGGCTAATGTATTTTTTCAATGATAATTAATTGCGGGATTTCTTATTAATTAACCTAAAAATTTAATTGTTGGGTCTGTGAGTGCATCTTCGGACACATCGCCAATCAAACTTGATACCCGGTAACAAGCGGCAGGGTCACGGGGCATGGGTATGATCTTAGTTGGGTCAGGGGGTACATGTCACTAGGCTAATTTATGAGTGCCTAAATTGAGTTTCAGGGTCTTGGGTCTGGTCACTGATGTCTGGCTTGTGAGGCCAAGTCATGGACGGCCGACTTTCCTTGGATCACAATGCCAGAATCTGAACGCCAAGACCCATGACTCATGAGTGTGAGTAACCTTACGGTATTTCTTTTGACATAGCTTAGTAATAACATATTTTGAAGTAACACCTAATTTTGGTGTAAGTTAGAATTGGATCTTTGGCTTCTTAGAAGCACATGTGAAAGCCTTTATAATTTGGTAAACCTCATTTTAAACTTGTCAAATAAGAAACTTTGACTATATATCACCCCAAATCATATCTCCAAATTTCTTCACCCAAAAGCACCCTAACCGCTAGCGACTCAAGACCAACTACAGACATATCTACACTTTATTGAATTTGTCAAGCTCTAGATGCCAAATTTACACAACAAAATTAATAGCTTCAACTTCAACTTCAAAGCTCACAAAGTTCTTTTTTCTTAGTAATTATGAAAATTAATTTCTACAATTTAATCCACAGCCCATCACGTCTCCATATTAACAAAATCTTGCATCCGCCACCGACTCTAACACAATATTATATAGGCTTAATTATGTACATGCCCCCTGTGCTTTTAAGTTTATCTCAGATTACCACCTGTGGTGGTAAACGTCTCAAAGTACCCCCCAACGTATAAATAACCGTATCAATTTACCCCCTCCGTCAAATTTTTTGACGGTCCGTTACGAACAGTGGGCCCCACTTCGTTTTAACCTTTAAGCTGTTTGAATAAAGGTTTCTCAGTTTGTAACAAAGGGGAAATTGGGTTTAGGGTTCATTGGAGAAGAGGGTTGTTGTCAAAATCTGAGGGTTCCTTCGATTTTGGGAGAATTTGGAGAAGAAATCATTGTTTGGCATTAGACTTTAAGGCTAGAAGGTGCGAAGATGGTGGTGCTTAGAGAATCTAGAGGTTGTCAACCCATATGTAAGTGGACCCATTGTTACTCAATTTTCTTGATTTTGGCATGTGCATTGAACTGTTGTTAGGATTTTGTTTTTGTTTTTTGTATACTTTTTGACTCTGCTGGTTCTGGTGTGATCATTGTGTGGTCCTTGCATGTTCCTAGTGTGGTGTGTTGCTGGAAATTTTTTTGTTCTTTCATATATTTTTTTATTCTGTGCTGGCCCCAATATACCTTATGTGGTCCTTGGATGTTCCTTGTATTATCCTTTGTGTGGTCCTTTTTTTCTCTTTGTGTGTTTTTTTCCATTTGTTAAGTGAATGTTCCTGTTACGCAGATAAAGATGCTGATGAGGTTGTCACATTTAAGTTTTTCCATGGAGGTAAACAAGTGAAAAATAGAAAGGACAGTCAGTGGTCTTATTTAGGTGGTGAAGTCAGTTGGTTTGATTACTGTGAGGTTGACTATATGTCCATGTTAGAGCTATTTGGAATGGCTAAAGATTTGGGATATGACGATGGGTATGATGTGAGTTTTTATGGTGAAGAGTTTGGAACTAGTAGACTCATTCAAATAATATCTGATAGTACACTTTTAGCTTGTATGAGCATGGTACCTAAAAGCAATAGCAGGGTGGTAGTTTTGTACTTGAAGGTAGTGAGCTTAACTTCAAGCCAAGTGGGGAATGATAGCAGTGATAAAGAATATTCTTGTTCTGAGAATGATGATAGCAGTGATCCAGACTTTGAAGACAGTGACTATGCACATAGTGATGAAGAGATTGACTTATTGAAGAATGATGATAAGTGGTTTGAAGGTTATGTGGATCATAGTATTTTTGACAATGATCCTAATGCAGAGCAAAATGATGAGTCAGACAATGGAGAAGAGTCACCTACACTTACCTGCCCAAATAGTTCACAAAGTGAAGATGATGCAGTGGGTGAAGTAAGAAGGAAGAAGAATAGGATGCCAAAAGGTGAAGATTTCAGACCTGAAATTGATATGGGAAGCCCAAGTTTCAAAATAGGTTTAAGGTTTGCAACTGCCGAGTTGTTTAGAAAAGCTGTGAGGATATACTCCATTAATTGTGGAAGGGAGTTGATTTTTATGAATAATGACCGTAACAAAATAAGAGCAGTATGTGAAGAGGGCTGTCCTTTTGTTATCCATGCTTCAAGTGTTAGTGGTAGCACTTACCTGCAGGTGAAAACCTTTAATCCTACACATGTTTGTAGCAAGGGGACTAAAAATATACATGCTACTGCTGGCTGGTTGGCTGAAAGATATTCTGGGCAGTTAAGGCTCAATCCAAATTGGACTGCTTCTTCTTTTGTAGAGCAAGTTCACCAAGACTATGGTTACAGACCATCTAGAGCAACTGTGTACAGAGCAAGAGCCATGGCAGTGGACATTGTAAAGGGGTCTTACAGTAAACAATATGAAGTATTGTGGGAATATTGTCATGAGTTAAGAACCAGGAATGTGGGAAGTACAGTTATCATTAAATCTGAAATGGAAGGTGATAGGCCACGGTTTCAAAGAATTTACATCTGTCTTGCAGCCTGCAAGAAGGGGTTTTTAGATGGTTGTAGGCCTGTGGTTTGCTTGGATGGGTGTCATGTCAAAGGGCCTCACCCTGGGCAAGTGCTTTCTGCAATGGGAGTTGATGCAAACAACGGAATGTTTCCACTTGCCTATGCATATGTAGAGATTGAGAGCAATTCAACATGGCTGTGGTTTTTAGAATTATTGAGTGGTGATCTCAATATTACGAATAGCCATGGTTATGTATTTATGACTGACAAACAAAAAGGGTTAATAGATGTTGTGGATGCTCTATTCCCTCAGGCAGAGCATAGACATTGTTTGAAACATCTATATGGGAACTTCTATTTGGAACATAGAGGTCTTGCCTTGAAACATCAAATGGAAGCAATTGCTAGAGCCACAACAGTGCCATGGTTTCATGCAGAGATGACAAAGATGTTGCAGTTGTCTAAACCTGCACATGATTGGCTCATAGAGAAAGATCCTAGGCATTGGAGGAGGGCATATTTCAAGAGTGATTCCAAGTGTGACATGCTTATGAACAATCTATGTGAGGCATTCAACCGTAGCATAATGGATGCCCGAGACAAGCCTATTCTGACTATGCTAGAAAGAATTCGGTTGTATATAATGTTGTTGATGGCGGAAAGAAGGGTTCTCTGTGAGAAATGGCATGGACAAGTTGGGCCAAGAATTAGAAAGATATTAGAGAAAAACAAAGGAAAAGCTCAGTGGTGCATTCCTAAGGCTGCTGGACAGAATCAATTTGAAGTAATGCACCATAGTGGCCGCACCTTTGCTGTTGATTTGAATGCCCACTCTTGTTCATGCCATGCTTGGGATTTGAATGGAATACCATGTTTGCATGCATGTGCTGCAATAAGTTGGTTTCATGGGAATCCAGAGGACTTTTGTGATGCAGTGTACAAGAAAGAGGCTTATTTGAGAGCCTATGAACCAATGATTATGCCTATGACTAGCCAAGATCAGTGGATGAAGGTTAATTTACCTCCATTACTCCCTCCGAAATACCACAAGCAGCCTGGTAGGCCTAAGAAGACAAGAAAACAAGCTGTTGAAGAACCTAAACTTCCTGCTAATCCATATAAGCTTCCTAGGTATGGCATCCCTTTAAAGTGTGGCAATTGTGGTGGAGAAGGGCATAATCGAAGTAGTTGTAAGGTATGTGGTTTTTAGAATTATTGCTTTACATTTAAATGTATTTGATTTGGTTTCTGACTTGATGACTTTGGTTATTAGGAACCTAGAAATCCCAACATAAAGCCTACTAGGAAGAGGAACATTGCCAAGGACAAACTTGCAGTAAGTGCCACAGTTTCAACTATGTTTTCACTCATCAAAATTTTATATCATGGAAACTTCTAATTATTATTTGTTTTAGGTAAGAAGGAGAGATGGTGGAGACCAAAGTAGCGGACAACAGAGTATGCAATTAAGGCAAAGGAAACACTCAAGCACTTCCCAAGGGCCTTCTCAATCCCAGGCATCTCAAGTAGCTGCTGCTTCTCTATCCCAACCATCTGAAGTAACTGATGCTTTTCAATCTCAGCCATCGGAAGTAGCTTATGCTTTTCAATCTTAGCCATCCGAAGCAGCTGATGCTTTTCAATCCCAGCCATCTCAAGCACCTGAACCTGCCAAATTATCTCGAGTAGGAGGAGGATGAAAGATCAACAGAGGAGCCATTTTGTCAAAGATCTTTTTTTTCATCCTTGAATGTTGTGGAAGACTTTAATGGTCCAGACATGGTTGTTGGTTTGTGGGATTATTGATGTCTGTTATGGTTGGAACTTGTTTTGGTTGGAACCTGTATATTTGATGTCTGTTATGTTTGGAACCTATTATGGTTGGACCTGTTTTGGAACCTAAATATTTGATGTATGTTATGGTTTGAATATTTGATGTATGTTATGGTTGGAACCTATTATGGTTGGACCTGTTTTGGAACCTGAATATTTAATGTATGTTATGGTTGGAACCTATTTAGGTTTGTGCATATTTCCTAAGGTTGTTATGGTTGGAATCTGTTTTGGAACCTGTTTTGGTTTGTGCATATATTCATAAGGCTGTTATGGTTGGAACCTGTTTTGGTTTGTGTTCTGTTTTGGAACCTGTTTTGTTTTGGTTTGTGCTTGGTACCTGTTCTGTTTTGGTTTGTGCTTATAATGACAGGTGCTTTTGCTAGTTTTGGGTTTTGCCTCTTGCTTTCCAGATTCCAGTAAACTTTGGCATGTTACCAAAGGCTACATATCCACCATAAACTTTGGCAAAGAAGGCAGGTCCTGCTTTTTTAGGGAAAACTGAATTTTGGTTATCTTCTTCTAGATTCATCAAGAAATTACCATTCAATTTACCATTCATATCACAGATCAAACTTAACTAGCATTACATTACTTAACTAACTAGCATTACATTCATGTCACCATTTGTAACCTCTAAACAACTTACCATTCATGTCACCATTTGTAACCCCTAAACAAATTACAATGAACAAACTTAACTAGCATTACATTACATTACACCAAATGACATTACATTACACTGCCAAAGTGTCTTACATTAGATTAGCATTTGTTCTCAAATTAAATTTGCCCATTAAACTACTGCCAAAGTGCTTAACTACTGCCAAAATGCCTTACATTACATTAACATCAGGTATCAAATTACAATGCCCACTGAACTACTGCCAAAGTGCCTAATTCATCTTCATGGCAAACACCACCAACCAGGAAAGCAACATAGCAGCCCACAATATTTTTGACTTTGCTCGAATCTTTGCATTTTCCTTCTCCACCCTATCAATCTCCCTCAGCAAACCAGGTATCAACGATTTTGAACGCTCACACATTTCTGCATCAAACCACTGAAAAAACCTACATCCTTTTTCTCCCCTTCCCTGTATCAACCAAGAACAATGACTGAAAATTTGGGTGGTAAAATGACTGAAAATTTCATCAATCACTGACAATTTCATCACTAACAACTCTATCAATTTGTGATGCCCAAAACAATGACTGAAAATTTTATCTTAAACATGCTTACCTTTGACTTTGGGCAGACTAGAAATCTTCGCCCTGGGTTTGAACTGGTCCAAGAAGTCAGCATCCGTGCTAACTTCCCACAATGACACCATTGGCCATGTCGTCCTTCTCCTTGCTTCTCTCCTGTTTCCATCATCCCAAATCTTCTACTCCACAATCTTCCAATTTCAAACTCCACCTCAGAGTTTTACAAACAATGATTTCTTCTCCAAATTCTCCCAAAATCGAAGGAACCCTCAGATTTTGACAACAACCCTCTTCTCCAATGAACCCTAAACCCAATTTCCCCTTTGTTACAAACTGAGAAACCCTTATTCGAACAGCTTAAAGGTTAAAACGAAGTGGGGCCCACTGTTTGTAACGGACCGTCAAAAAATTTGACGGAGGGGGTAAATTGAGACAGTTATTTATACGTTGGGGGGTACTTTGAGACGTTTTCCACCACAGGTGGTAATCTGAGATAAACTTAAAAGCACAGGGGGCATGTACATAATTAAGCCTATTATATATACATATAGTTTCCAATTTTGACTTCAAGTTTTCAATTTTGTCCTTTCAATTAAAAACAAAAACAATAAAACAATAAAAAAATTAAATTTTAAAAATTAAAATTAAAAAAAAAACAAGGGAAAACGTGTATAACTACAGAAATTCCATCAAAGACCGATACATTATATAGTCAACAACAGAAATTGAAAGCATAAGCAACAAACAACCCTAATCTCTTGTGAGGATTCTCGTCACTTATTAGTCAACTACTACGCTCAACGCTTATTCATAATTAACAAAGTATTAGTCTTATGTGTGTAACTACATACTACATATTTTAATTGAGAAAGACTCCATGGCTGCTGTTTGCTTGGATCCCAACTCTATTGACGCTACTCGCCCTATTTTCAGGGTTCTGATTGTTGGCGTGTGAGTGGGTTCAGGAAAGTGATTTCCTAATTAGTGTAGTTGACTAATTCTTGTACAATTAGGACTTTGTGTTCCTAGTTTATTTTGTTTCCTTGCTAAACCTGTAAAACCCTATGAAAACATATAAATAGTTCATTATGGAGATGAATAGAATTGAATCAGTTTTACCTAAACATATATTTCTACTTGGTATCAGAGTCACCGATCTGGTGGTTTCTTGTTTATCCCAAACCCTCTAATTGAATTCAAACCTATATTGAGTTCATTCGTTTTTCATCCATCCTCCACATATATTGAGTTCATACTTCCACACCAACAATTTCCGCTGCGATGACAACACCCGAGGCTTCCCTTGTTCTCCCGCATAGTTGTTCGACCTCCACTGCACAACCTCCAACTTCGTCGATTCCACAGATTGTCACCATCCAGAATGATAATTCTGCGTTGCCTACAGGAGTTATTCTCAATGAGACCAATTATGATATTTGGTCTCAACTCATGGAAATTCAAATTGCTACCCGTGGAAAGTTGGGCTATCTTACTGGCTCTATTGCTATGCCAGCCGAATCTGCTCCTACTTTTGATGCGTGGACAACTGAAAATGTACGAGTCAAAGGTTGGTTAATTGATTCTATGTCCCCTGAGTTAATGAGCCGCTTTATTCGTCTTAGCACTGCCAAGGAGATTTGGGATGCTGTCAAGAAAGTATTTTATGATGGCTCTGACGAATCTCAAGTTTACCAACTGAACAGGAAGGCATTCACCCTCAAACAGAATGGCCAACCTGTTTCCAAATATTATAGCATGCTTTAGAGCCTTTTTCAGGAACTGGATCATCACGACCCCCCATCTATGGTGTGCGCTGCTGACACTGATGCATACCAGAAAAAACTCGACCATCTTCGAGTTCATATTTTTCTTTCTGGATTGGATCCCGAATTTGATCAAGTCTGTAGTGAAATCCTCCGCAAAGAACCTAAACTGGATCTCGACCAAAGTTCTGCTTATGTTCGCCATGATGCACAACAACGCGCCAATTTTATTAGTGCTGCCACCTCTCTTGATGCTACTGTCATGGTGGCTCAACGTTCCAAGGGACCACCTTCATCTCATGGGAGTTCCTCAACCCAGGGGGTGAAGGACAAACTAGTTTTCAAGTGCACTCATTGTGGTGGTTCAAAGCACACTCGTGAACATTGTTATGACTTAGTTGGCTTTCCATCTTGGTGGGATCATTCTAAGAATAAAAGAAGTGGTCATAAGGCACTCCAAGCCTCTGCTACTCCAGATACCCCCCTGTAAGTGGCAACAAATCAAATGAATATACTTCTACATCTGCGTCGATGGCTACATCAGGTACAACCGATTATGCATTGAATGTTTCTTCCACCTCACCCACCAGTAATGTCTAGGTTATTGATTCAGGCGCCTCTGATCATATGACATGTGATTCAAATAAAATCACATCTTTGTCTCCATCTTCACAGTCGGTAGTATCCAATGCTAACGATAGTTCCTCTCCTGTTGTTGGAGAGGGTTCTTTATCCCTTGCAAATTCGTTGCACCTGGATTCAATACTTGTTGTGCCGTCATTGGATTTTAATTTGCTATCTGTTGCGCAAATTACTCATGCTCTTTTTTGTATTGTAACATTTTGGCCAAATTGTTGTATTTTTCAGGACATCCTCACAAGGAAGATAATTGGTTATGGTACTAGAAGAGGCAAGCTGTATTTTCTGGATTTGGCACCAAGTGGTGAGACTCGGATTTCTCAAGCCTTCAAGACTAGTGGAGATCCGACCGAGAAAAATCAGAATTTTATTTGGTTGTGGCATAGACGGTTGGGTCATGCCTCCTTTGGATACCTTTAAAAATTGTTTCCTTCATGGTTTAGTAAACTTTCATATTTTAATTTTAAGTGTGATGTTTGTGAACAGGCAAAAAGCCATAGAGTTTCCTTCCCTTTCAGTATGAATAAAAGTACGGTGCCGTTTGCAATTGTTCATTCTGATGTTTGGGGTCCTGCTCCAATTTCTACTCATTCTGGTGCTCGTTGGTTTGTTACCTTTATTGATGATTGCACGCGTATGACTTGGATTTCTCTTTTAAAAACCAAGGGGGAGGTGTGTACCACATTTCAACAGTTTTACAATTTGGTAGACACTCAGTTTCATGCAAAAATTAAGATCCTTCGTTCTGATAATGGGGGTGAATTTGTGAATCATGATCTTTGTTAGTTTTTAGAAGCTCATGGAATTGAACATTAGCGAACATGTCCATATACCCCTCAGCAAAATGGGGTAGCAGAACACAAAAATCGTCATTTGTTAGAAGTGGTTTGAGCTTCATTGTTTAATGCTCAAATGCCTCGTTCTTTTTTGGGAGAAGCAGTGTGTTCTGCTGCGTATCTTATTAATCGGGTTCCCTCCAGTGTCTTGAACTTCCAAACACCATTACAAGCCCTTCGTCAGTTTTGTGCTCTTCATTCCACTCCCAATTTGGAGCCACGAGTCTTTGGATGTGTAACTTTCGTTCACCTTTATACACATCAGCGCAACAAGTTAGAGCCTCGAGCACTTAAGTGCGTGTTTATTGGCTATGCCCAACATCAAAAAGGGTATCGTTGCTTTCATCCACCTACTCAAAAGCTCTACATCACTATGGATGTGGTTTTTCGAGAAGAAGAAATGTATTTTTCTGGGGGAGTTCAGGCACAGGCGAGTCCAAATACTGTTGATGATCAGTTCGACCTGGAAGGATTCGTTACTTTGGAGTCATTATGTCATCCAACAGTTCAAAATGCACTAATCGTCTCGGTTGGTCTCCTCACCCACAACCCAGTCACCCGGTCAGGGGGGAGAAGAATGATGTATTTATGCCCGTTTCTGAAGTTTTTGTACCATTTAACCAATTATCTTCTGAGGTGTCTTCTGAACCTACAACCCAGGTAACATCCCAGAACATTGATGTTGAAGATTTATATTTAACTGATTTGTTTTCAGACGATCCATCTAATGAGATACATCTACAACCATACCAATTACCTGTTCGTAAGAATCGTGGTATCCCGAAGATTCAATATGAAGCGGATCCCAAAGCTAAAGTGAAGTACCCGATTAGCAACCATGTTTCCACTCATAGATTGTCTGCACCATATGCCATGTTGATCAAGCAACTAGATTCTTTGTCTACACCAAGCAGTGTAGAAGAGGCTTTGATGGATCCAAACTGGAAACAAGCGATGAATGATGAGATGCAAGCTCTTCAAAAGAATTCCACATGGGAACTTGTTCCTCTCCCAAGTGGCAAACGAACTGTGGGTTATAAATGGATTTATACTATTAAGTTGAAGGCAGATGGATCAATCGAACGGTACAAAGCTCGATTGGTGGCAAAAGGATATACTCAGAGATATGGAGTGGATTATCAGGAGACGTTTGCTCTAGTAGCAAAAATCAATACTGTACGAATCCTGATATCACTTGCTGCAAACTTGGATTGGCCATTACACCAATTCGATGTCAAAAATGCCTTTTTACATGGTGATTTAGAAGAAGAAGTTTATATGGATCCTCCGCTTGGATGTAACTTGAGTTCCGAATCGAAACACTACGTGTGCAAATTAAAGAAGTCGTTGTATGGTTTGAAGCAGTCACCTAGAGCATGGTTTGGGCGGTTGACAAAGTCTATGAGGGCATTCGGATAAAAACAAAGTAATTTTGATCATACTTTGTTCTTGAAGCATAAGGAAAATAAAATTACAGCTTAGATAGTATATGTTGATGATATGATCGTAACAGGTGATGATCCTGACGAAAGAAAAGCATTGCAAGAGTACTTATCTAAGGAGTTTGAGATGAAAGATCTTGGTACACTTAAGTATTTTCTTGGGATAGAAGTATCTAGATCACAGCAAGGTATCTTCTTGTCTCAACGAAAATATGTTATGGATTTATTAACTGAAACAGGGATGCTGGGGTGTAAACCAGTTAATACGCCTATAAAGGAAAATCACAAGCTTGGTGAGTGTACTGATCATAAACCAACTAACAAGGAGCAATACCAGCGCCTAGTTGGGAGGTTAATTTATTTGTCACATACGAGACCGGGCATTGCATATGTTGTGAGTGTTGTAAGCCAGTTTATGCACTCTCCAAGTGAAGTTCATAGAGATGCAGTGAATCGCATCTTGAAATATTTGAAATCAACTCTTGGTAAAGGGTTAATGTATTCAAAGCAAGGACATCTGGACGTAATTGGGTATACAGATGCGGATTGGGCTAGGTCCCAAACAGACAGACAATCCACTTCATGTTACTTTACTTTTGTATGAGGTAACCATGTTACTTGGCGTAGTAAGAAACAAAATGTTGTTGCAAGATCAAGTGCGGAGGCAAAATATAGAGGTATGGCACATGGTGTTTGTGAGTTGTTATGGATTAAACATGTTCTAACGAAGTTAGGTTTTAAGCCTAAAAAACCCATGAAATTATATTGCGATAATATTGCGGCCATTAATATTGCTCATAATCCAGTTCAACATGATCGAACGAAACATGTTGAAGTGGATAGGCATTTCATCAAAGAAAGATTAGAAGACAAGACGCTTCAGTTCCCGTTTGTAAAGTCAGAAGATCAGTTGGCAGATATCTTAACGAAAGCAGTTTCAAGCCAAGTATTTCAGGACACGCTGAGCAAGTTGGACCTTGGTGACATTTATGCTCCAACTTGAGGGAGAGTGTTGGCGTGTGCGTGGGTTCAGGAAAGTGATTTCCTAATTAGTGTAGTTGACTAATTCTTGTACAATTAGGACTTTGTTTCCTAGTTTATTTTGTTTCCTTGCTAAACCTGTAAAACCCTACGTAAACATATAAATAGTTCATTATGGAGATGAATAGAATTGAATCAGTTTTACCTAAACATATATTTCTACTCTGATTAATTGCAAAGATTTAATTAGTAGGAATTAGGTTCGCGTTTATTTTTATTTTTTTAGTACAAGCGATTGGGGGAAGGGGTTTACACAAATATTTATTGAGCGTATGGGAGTTTTGAACCTCCACCCACATGGGTGGAGGTGAAAGAGCTCAACCAACTGAGCTATACCTCACTGGTTATATTCGCATTTATTTGATGCCTTAAGTATGGCAAGGACCATAGCTATTTGTATTTTTTTTTTTTTTTTTTTTTTTTTTTTTTTTTTTTTTTTCTTTTGGTTTAAAAAATAACCAATACCTTAGTACCAGGGGCGGAACTAATAGAGTGATTGTGAAATTGGTTTTTAGATTGAAGACCAGCTAATCAAGTTAGGACATTGCATTACAACTTCACAAAATTTAATTCAAAGTGCTAGTTTATTCACGTTTTAATTGGTCAGTTTATTCAAAGTACCAAGTTATGATTAATACTTGGCCATACCAACTCCCAATCCTCAGATTTTAATGGTTCATATTGTGCCACATTTATCCCAGTTAAGTTCCTCCTTAATATTAATTATTTAGAAAACTCAAGAGGAAATTTTGGATTTGGACAACGGAAAAAAAACGAAGTTTTTCATTTTTGGCATCTACTCAATACCTCCACATCAGTATCCATAAAAAAAAATCCCAATTGTTATGAACTTGATTAAAAGACAACAATAAAAATACACATTAAAATAAGTACACTTGGAATTCTATTGTTGAACATATTTTTATCTTGATAATATGTGTTTTGCGATTGCATCTTTAATATGTATTTGTTTTATATTAAAGTTTATTGAAAATTTGAGTGGTTTATAAGATTTAAAGCATACTTTTATTTCTAGAAAGACTATAAACTATAAGCAAAATAAAAATTATGATTAAATTTTAAGCTAAAATGAATATATCTAGCCCATTCGATAACAAATTCCTGTTTCTACTCTTGCTTAATACCAAACTTATTTATTATTTTGAATGATTAGATTGTCTTAATTTTGTTGTTAGATCACTCCGATTGTGAGGGCAATTTGTAGCTAGTTTGTATTGGCCCTTTGTATATAACTAGTGACTTTTTTTGCTGAATATTTTCCCAGAATTCACAAAAAAAAAAAAAAAAAAAAAAAAAAAAAAAAAAAAAAAAAAAAAAAGAAAATGATGAATGAGAAAATGAAAAATAATTGGAATATAACAAATTAATTAGAAAAGGGAACCTTGAAAAGCATTAGAATTGTATTTCTCTGAGAAGGTTGTAACAAGGCCGTCGTTAACATGTTAATTCTTACCATGTAATGTTCCTTTCGGTTGAATGAAATACCATCTTTTCTTAAAAAAAATATAGGTTGATTACTGAAGCAGAATGAATTAAATTAATGAACAAATTAAAGATTGTGTCACGCATCTTTATTAAACATTTTGTAATACATACAACTAAAAAGAATTTAAAGTATACATGTTATCAGGTGAGCTTTACACGGTGCTCTTTGTTACAAAGAAAGTTACAAATGAACAAATGGGAAGTAGTTAAAGAAATGGATGTGTACATTGAACTTTTATTTACTAAACAAGATGAGTATATGCAGAACGAAATAACGAAAGTAATCAAGGATCAGTTTGCCAGAGCCAAAAATTAGAAATGAAATGGAGTTTTTGGACGATGCATAGAATGCTTTTCGTTCTCAATCTCTATCAGGCTGTTGATTACAATATTTGCAGCCCTTGTTACAACGTCTGCCAAATTCCTACAAAACCCAAAAGAAAAACCGATCGGAATTAATTCAGGAAATTCTATGAAAATGTAGTAGTTATATCATGTCTTTGAATATTAATAATTATAACCTTAAAAACCAAATAGTCAAAAGACAGTTATTTGATGAAATATTATTAGCACGGGTAATATTGGGAAGACCATATAGTTATAGACCATCTTGTATACCATCTTTCTAACAAAGGTTTGATGCGTGACCCATTATATAAGTGTACTCCACTTTTATTAGAAAGTTCGTACACAATGTGATCTATAAATGCGATCTTCTTAGCATTTTCTTATTAGCACTGCTGCAAGTTGAACCCTAAAAATAAAGAATGAATATGCTATGTGTGTTCATGGAACTTACCCTTTTGAGGAGTCGTACGTCAGCCCAACAGTGTTCTTGGCCTGTTCAAGAGCCAACCTAAACTTTGGAAGCATCTCCGGTGGACATTGCCCATTCTCGACGACACGAAGCTGAGAGGGCTTAATATCACAGAAGATTGGAATAACCTTCTTCTTAGACTCCATGAAGAGGGCCAATTCATGAAGGCAAAAGTAAGAGTCGCAATATCGTGGCGAAAACACAGCAACGCCAACCTTACATCCCATTATCGCACTATCAATTTTATCAAACAGTTTGTCTCCAGGTTTCATGGTCTTGTTATCTAAGAAAGGGCGCAAGTTGAGGAGAGAAAGATGGTCGTAAAGCAAAGAGACTATTGTTCTTTTTGTGTCTATACCTCTGTGATTAAGGAACACATCACAGGGTTTGGTAACCCGTTTGGCCAATTGGGTTTGGTTTTGGAGGAGGAAAAGGTTGCGGTGGAAGTTAATTGCCGCTGAACGATGCATGGTTTTTCTCTGTTGAGCTTGAGTTTTTGTGTTCGTCTCTGCCTTGTTCTTCTTTCTATGTTGTTATAATGAGAATTGTACCTTTTGCACTCGGATTTGCACGGCCTTAAATAAAGCCTCAAGTCCACTTTTTTTTTTTCAAATTTTCTTGTAGAAATTTTGTTTTTTTAAGATGGAATTTCTTACTGTTGAAGTTGATTTTGAAATAATTCATTAAGTATGCTGGAAAGAACAAAATTTTTGACCAGCGGTAAGCAAATACAAAGGGAAAAACCCTTCAAACACGTTGAAGGTCTCTCTCGATGTGAAATGTTGTCTCCACACCTCAGTGTGCATATCACATGCACTGGGTCATGTTCTGGACGAATTTAAAATGCTTCCAGTTTTTTTTTCCACCAAATTGTCGAGGACCAAAATATTAAAATCCTTGTGGAAAATTTAAATCAGCACATGCCTTGGGAAGTTCTATCCCCTTCGAATTTCAAGACAAATTCAAAGTAACTTTAATCTGTATGTTTTTTTTCTGAGAAAATGAAGAAATTAATATATTACATACATATATTAATTTATTGCAAGTTATAAAAACCATCAAAAGGGTTTCTTTGACTGTTTGAATGAGGTAAATATTCCACTGAAAATTACACAGACCATTTTATTTACATTCACATAATTTTATTTCTAGGCAGCTTCTAGCTAGGTTTTTTTATTATTTATTTATTTATTTATTTATAATATAATTTTAATTTGTGAGAATTAACTGTTTCCCCGAACCCTTGATGCTTTGTCACTCATCTCATGTACGTCAACAAAAACCCTAGTTGCCGTACTCTCGTTCCAAGCCTTTGGACCTTTGATTTGATTACACCTTCTCACTTGACGTGTATAGTTCCGTGTTGCCTTTGTCTCCTGTCCCACTTGGTCAAATATATATTATCTTACCAAATAAAAGATTGTAGCGATGGTGTTTGGTTTGAATCATGAACTAAATTACGTAATGAACTTCGTATGTAATTACGGGTACTACTAGCAATGCATGTTTGTAGGGTGTGTTCGCGTTGTGTCACTTTGTGTTTGTATTGATTAATTAGTAGTCAGTCTTAACTGAATGCATTAATTAATTGCGTCAATTGATTCAATGTTAACATAACCCGTTTAATAATTGATTCAATGCTAACATAACCCGTTTAATAATCATGTCGCATTAGGGCATGGTTGTTTACGAAATTTAGGAGGTCACGTGCAAATATAAAAGATGACCCTCTTTTAGTTTAATATCAAAGGACTTTTGAACTAGAAATGGGTTCTTCTAATTTGAGGTCAAATTGCCCCAATTTTATTCTAATGAATACTCCTATTAATAAGAAAACCAGCTATGAGGAGTCCCCTTTGGTTTTCAGTCCAACTTAACAAAGAGAAAAACAGTAGATATAAACAAAAATAATGTACCAGTGGAGTGTTAGTTGGATTGATCTTGGCTTTTGGTATGCTCCACGTGGTCTTGGATTCAAGCTCCTATGGTGGTACTTGTGTATGTAAGTTGCCCCTCTCCCCTTAACTTTAGCAAAAACAAAAACAGTGCAAATACGAGAAAAACATATAAAGTAGGAAGCATTTGGAACTGAAAGGAACATCAAACAAACAAACTCCATGATGAACTATTTACACCAGATGAACGTAGCATCACGGAGGAGTCACAAAGCTAGGCAAAAAAGTCTGGGAAATTTGAAGAACCCCACATCTTAGAAGGGTGAGACAAAATGTCTTGCGATGAGCCTCTTCATCGTTGTTTTCCTCTTTTAGAATTAATTCGTTCTTTTTTTCTTGTTGGGCCGTGTTTTGGGCCCCTTTGTTCTCTACCAATTGGTTTGCCTTGTGCCACTTCGCTTTGCTTTGCGCTTTGTTTGTTGTTTTCCTTGCTACTCATTTCTCCTGTTATTCAGAGGTTCCGCTGTTTGAAACAAAAATTATCATTATTTCTCTAATGTTTTCTTCGAAAATAATTTATCAGCTAGCTGTCTCCTGGCTTGTTATCTATATATATAAAAGAAGAATACCTCAAACGGTAAAAATATTGACAAATCCAAAAAATACTCTTGATTAACTAAGGTTTTAAGAAAAGAGACAACAAATTAATACATACATGCACCCGAGGTCCTGTATTTGAATTTCCCTTCTCTAATATCACTTGTATAAAATATATAAAAAAATTGAAACTAAAATTGAAAGTTACACATAGCAAACTGAAGACAAAGTAATACATGCTACAAATTAATTACCCCATAGAACCATACATGAATCGGTCAACAGAAGCAATTGTTGGCATAACTTATGGACCAATAACTTTCTTTCCTTGCACACTAACGATTCTCATTATAATTGTAATTGATTTACTTTAATTCCTGATTTTCTATTGTAAATAGAAATATGAATTTATTACTTTACTTAATCACTAAGGTTTCGTAATATGACCTCCTACAAAAAGAAGAATACACAGAAAATACTCACAAACAAATATTCTCTCATAATTCTCATATTTTACCAGCAAGTGCTATGAATTATTTGTATATGTTCATGTTCATGCTCACATGTACACGTAGGTCAAAGCTTTACAACAACAACAAAAAAACTTTAAATAAACAATGTTGGTATTTAATTTATGCCTCACAGAATATCAGGGTATCCAAAGTTATGACACACTCAGAACAAACATATGGATAATCTGGCAGCAGGAAATGGAAGTTTTGTTTGTCCTCTGGTGGTTGGTGGTGGTTAAGATTTCATATCAGTTCTTAATTATTAAAAAATACACATAATGAAACAGCAAATGGACCCAGTAATGTTACTTGTTTCAGATGGGTGTTTGGTCATCATCATCATAGACAAAATGTCATAATGTATCCAGCTAATGTAAGGTAGATTGTTGTTTCACGATAGTACTTTATGTCTGACAAAAATTTATGACATAATCTAACATAAACTCTCTTTTTTGGGTCAAGAAATCTAACATAAACTCTCTTTTTTGGGTCAAGAAATCTAACATAAACTTATTACCTTTTTCCTCTCCCTTTTTTTTTCCTTGTTTCTTTTCCTAACAATTTATGAACCAACTAGAAATAGAAATGGTTTCTAGATGGGGCCTTTGGCATCATTATGTCATGATAATTTGCCCCAATTTTTGTTTTTTAAACTCATACATACGGGTATCATAGGAATTTGAACCGAGAACCACTTTGAAGTACACCAAAGACTTAGACCAATCTAACTAACACCCAGTTGGTGATATAATTTGCCCCAATTAATTCCACAGAATCATGTACAAGCCGTTTTAAAGTAAACCTTAACTAATTTAAATGTTTAACTAATAAGGTTGAAGGTTAAGATCAACACTGTCTCATAATTTGATACCCAAAAAAGAAAAAAGTGGTGGCTGTGCTTTACTAATAAATTACTTAGAAAATGGAGTGCTCCCAAAACAAGTATTTCTTCGATGACTGTTAGTGTAGTTAGGGGAATATGAATGCACAGAGAAACAATGAATAATTAAAGAAATAAAAACTCTGGAATTTGAAATTCCGTTTCTTTCCGTCAACTTATTCTTTGGCAAATCATATACAAGTTGGATGGTACTTGATATAATTATGTTTCCAAATAATCAAAGGTAGCTTCAGTTTTGGAAGTAGCTAAAGAAAATAATTCAAAGTACATGGAAAAAGGTGTGCGGTGATCATTGTGACTAATAAACTTCTTGATGTTCTTGTTAGCATGTAAATTCAAAAACAGGTGTAGGAATCGGCCCTCGATGATTGAAGACCAATTATGGCCTCATCTTTTTTCAACTATGATTAATTAGAAATTACAAGTATATATATGATTTATGAAAATAAGTAGTAAACTTTAAAATTCCTCAAAATCATCATGATATATTATATATCCACTTGCATAGTTAGATAAAATATTAAATTGTATGAAAAGGAAGGTTATGGCCTATTAGACGAAATCAATAATTGGAACATCACTTGAAAGTTGAAACTGGAAAAAGCTGAATTGGCCTTGCAATTTGCCTTACAATCCACACCAGTAGAAGAAAACAATAAACTCTTGAAAATTTTCATGCATATCCAAGAATATGAAGGGCTCGTTTGGAACTGCTTCTTGGAAGTATTTATGCTCATAAGTGTATCTAACAAAAGTGCTTTCGTATAAAATAAAATCTTTTTTTATTTCATCATTTAAAAAAAAAAAAAAAAAAAAAAAAAAAAAAAGGAGTGGGCTTCTTCCATTAAGCGTTTCTATAACCCAGAAACACTTGGGCTCGTTTGGGAGTGCTTTTGAAGCAACAAAAAACGCTTTTAAACGGGTGAAAGCGCTTCTGTCTTCTAAAAATGATGTTTGGCAAAAATTACAAAAGCGCTTTGGGTGATATCCAAAAGCACTTGGAATGGTTTTGGAAGAAGCACTTGAGAGGTGCTTCTTCCTAAAAGTGTTGCAGAACAAAAACGCGGGAAGCACTTGGCTTCCTTTAATGAAACCTTTAAAATGCCAAAAATACTCATATTTAATTTTTTTTAAATGCCAAAATACCCTTTCTCTTTTTATTTTTTTTATTTTTATACAAAGAGCTGTTTGTGTGCATCGCTTGGCAGCCATGGATGATCATTAACCAATGGAATCTGTAATTATCCCTCATAACAATTTCTATGTTGTAGGCCTGAGATATTAATTTCATGGCTGAATGGCAATCTCTACAAATCTGCAGATTATTAACTACACGGATATGAGTTCTTGGGGGGTTGTTTAAAACA